GCGGTGGCTTCCTATTGGTTAATTGCAGGAAAAGGGGGCTGGCAATCGCGTGAGTGCAGCGGGCGTAGCCGTGCACGGGTCCTAGCGCCGGACCCGGCGATGGTGAGAAACCACCGAATAGGAGGCCGGAAGCATCGGAAGTCACGTGCTGCCTGGGCTGCGCGGGTGATTGGCTTGGCTGGACCTGAATGAGGCGGCTGTGATAGCTGAATTGTCTGGGCAGGTAAAAAGAGAACGCATTTTTTTTTCTTTTCTCCCAGCATGGTCTGTGTAGTCTCTTGCCCTTGCAGTCCCAGAGCGTTTTGCGCTGTGTGTTGGTTGCAAGGATGAAAAGCGCTCGCGACGTTGTGCCCGAAGTGCACCTGCCGGCTTCCAGTCCAAGTGATGCAGGCGATGCTCCGCTGAGTGCATTTCGATGCAGTCCTGTAACGGGCCTCGGGGGCGCAACTTGAACCATCGCAAGCCTCGAAAAGTCTAGGTGCAGTCCTTCAAAGGGACATACGGAGCAGAGGGTTAAAAGGCGTTTCATTCATTCAGATGCATCCCGCGTGCAAAATGTATTCCAGAATTAGGTACGGCCTGCTTCCAACAGAGAATCCGAAGCCTCTTCCAATACAAGCATTCGAAAGTAGAGGCTCGAGCATTCGATTTAGGAGGCGGTGTTAAATGTGTGGATGAGAACTTTGGAATACTGAATTTTATTTTTCCCCCAAGGATTTGCAATGTGGGATAATGGGGGGAGGGGCGAGAGAAAGATCAAGTTGAGATTGTAAATTCTTGAAAAATATTTATATAATGACCTTTTCTTTATATACGAAGATGCTGCTGCCGAGCAGTTTGTTACCTAATTTTTCAAAAGAGAAAAGGGGCTTCACTGGCGGGTCGTTTCTAATCAGTGGCCCTAGTGACACCATTGCTGCCCCCTCAAGAAGTCTGGTCAGGATTAGGAAGTCATTCAACAGCCAATAACAGTGCCCTGAACTGATAGTCAGACACCATCTGACTGATAGAGACACCCTATATCCACAGTATTGGCTCTGCCTGCAGAGACAAGAAGATATTGACGGAGGCTAAACCTATTCATGGGAAGTAGGTGGCCCTTGTTGCCTTGCTAAGGTGAAAGGTGGGACAGGGAGCAAGGGATCTAGAAAAGGGAATCTGGGAGACCCACAGATGTTTTATTTATTGAGTAAGTATTTGTTGAGTGCTACTCTGTACCAGACAGTGTCCTAGATGCTGAGGCAGAGGGGTGAACCAAGTAGACAGGATCCCTGCTTTCATGAATGGCATTTATATTCTACTGGGGGGACAAATCATAAATAAATAAGTAAACATGAACAAATAAGTGCTATGAAGAATATAAAACAGGTCAACATTATGGGGGGTCAGGAGAATGAGAAGAGAAGGCCTCTGGAAGGAGGTGACATTTGCCTTGTGGGACCAAGCCCTGCCACATTTAGAGGAGAAAGTATTCCAAGAGGAGGGCACAGCAAGTGCAAAGGCCCTGAGGCAGGGACGTGCTGACACATTAGAGGAACAGAAGGGCCACTGTGGCTGGACAGGAGTGGGAAAAGGAAGAATGGGAGGAAATGCAGTTGGAAACAGATGATGCTACATCAGGAAGAACCTGTAGGCTGTGGACAGAGCTCGGGGTTTGATTCTGATTGCACTGGACAGCCATTGGAGAGTTTAAGACATATTTTCTGGCTTCCCCAATCAGGACTCTTAGTTTGACAATAGGATGAAATATAATACATTAAGAGTTTCAAAGAAGGCTGGGCATGGTGGCTCATGCCTGTAATCCCAGCCCTTTGGGAGGCCAAGGCAGGCGGATCCCTTGAGGTCAGAAGTTTGAGACCAGCCTGGCCAATGTGGTGAAACCCCATTTCTACTGAAAATACAAAAATTAGGCGGGCGTGGTGTCACATGCCTGTAAGCCTGTAATTTTAGCCGCTCTGTAGGCTGAGGCAGGAGAATCACTTGAACCC